CCTGACGAAGCCGGCAGGAGGCCGGCGAAAGCTAGGTGTTTTAATGTTTTAATAGCAATAAATTTTTGTAACTTTTTAATCTCCTGGTGGTCTCACTGCTTGTGACCCTTCGAACATGAATTTACCCAGGAGTCATCCTCCAATTTTTAGAATTTTAAAGGACATATATATATATATATATATATATATATATATATATGCTGTTCACCTACCTGAACTTTTTGTCAAGACCCAAGATTAAACCAATGTAAGAACTATAATGAATTCCATAATGAAAGGTCTATCACATAAAAGAAAGAATAAGAAATAAAATAGTTATTTACTGCTTTAATATAATGATGATTTGCAAATCATATTGAACAAAAGCAACTAAACATAAAATAAATGACATGATTTTGAAATTTGCTCTGCTTTTTAACAATGTAGTACTCTTTGAAAATTCATTTGAGTAAAAAGGTAGCATTTAAATTATTGTGTTTTTTAAATGATTGATTTTGACTTAAGTTGACTGCATTAAACTTCCATTGATGTTAATTTAATGGGCCTCCTCTTAATATATATTTTATCCAAAAGTTAAAAGGAAATTCTTCAGTTTCTGAAAACATCTGGCTGTCACATCACACACACACACGCATATATTATAAATACACACATATATACACATAAACATGTAAATTTTCTGAAACCACTTATTTTGAATAAGTAATTATTGCATATAATTCTTACATATTTCCACAAAAACTGGTGTTCCTTTGAACTTTCAATGGTAGTAAGATCACCACCATGTTGTTTGCAGAATGTCTGGGCTTTTTCTGCTGGCATTGTTGTATTACTGAAATAATATTCATTGTTTTCAAATTCAATCCAGCCATCTTCAACTTTTTTATAACTACGTGCTGCAAAAGTAGAAGAAACAACAAAAGTAGAAGAAATCCACAAAGCAAAAAGTGCCACTTGAAGATTCCACGCTGTCCTTTTAGGCAAAGCTCTTCTTTCCAAGCTCTTCTGAATATGAATGAGCACATCCAAAATACACATCCGTGTAATAGCTGGCAAAGTGACCTCAGCTGAGTGCTTCCAATAGCTGGAAGAGGCTTCTATGCCAGTGATGGCGAACCTTTTAGAGACCAAGTGCCCAAACTGCAACCCAAAACCCACTTATGCATCGTTGGGTGCCGGGTGGGCGTGGCCCATTAGGTGGGTGTGGCCCATTGGGTGGGCATGGCCAATTGGGTGGGCATGGCTGTGGTGATAACGACAGACTGGGTGGGACTAAAAAGTTCAATCAATCAATTCCAACTTTGCAAGATCTTTTTTTTCCCCGTGAAAAGTTGAAATTGACTGATTGATTGAACCTTTTTTTTTTTGCACACAGCGGCAGAGGTCTAAAGGGAAAAGGTTTTATAAAACCCAGCTGAAGGCCTAGGACCTTGCGTGCCCACAGAAAGAGCTCCGAGTGTCGCCTCTGGCACCTGTGCCATAGGTTTGCCACCACTGTTCTATGCAAATGTTCCAGAATACACAAATGTCTCTTCTGGGTATTAGATTCACTAGGGTGAATCATAGGACAAAGCAGCAAAGCAATGAGGAGGCCATTTTAATTTGCTTTCAGAAATAGCAGGAAAGAGGATGGGTTGTTGTCTTATGCAACTGCTTACATCACTTGATTCAGTCAAATCACTATCCAATGCAACCACTTCATCAAAGCTTTACATATTAGGGAATATTTTTTTAAAATGTCCAATGATTTCTTATGGCTATGAAACATGCCCTACTTTTTAGTAACACCTCTTTGGCTACAGCCATACTTCTACATATGTTTGGGAAGCCTCTACTTAATTAATGCCTGTGAAGAGAAAGTCAATCACACCATGGCACTTTCCTTTCACTTAAGAAAACTCACAATGTCAATAGCTTTATACCATCCAGAGCCAGCATCTGGCTTTTTTCAATGCTTTGGAAAATTGGTCTGCTTACAAACTCAACCATCATGCATCACATTTTAGGAATACTTCTTTATCTCATACAGCCAAATTTAGCTCAAAACAGTCTGATTCAAATCAAACTAAAATACAATGCACAATCATGTACATATTACATATAACATTATATGTACATATTACATATAACATTTTTGACATTAAATTGCCCAACCTACCAAAGTCGTCGACTGGTTCTGTATTTAAGGTTGTACCTGCAAAATTAAATATTTTAATCAGAACAAATTCAAGCCTAACCTTATGACATTACACCATTTTGCAAAAGGCAATCCACAAAAAGTAAAATGTTGTATTAGCTTAATGTATTTCTACATTTACAAGCAAATAAAATCATAGAAATATGGATCCAGGTTTTCTCCCAAATCCAGATGGCACTCATTTTTGAAAGAGCCAAAAAGGCCTGGCTCTTCACCAACTCCTTTGGCAAGGAAGTGTGAGATCCCTTACTTTATTGCACTTGCCATCTTTTATCATTTATTGGGTTTATTGTAGTTTCTTTGTTTGATTTGTATGAGTCCAGAGTCATTTAAAATCAGGCAGCATAAAGGTTTAATAAATTATTAATATTGCAATTATTATTACAAAATAATTTTTTTGCATCAATAATGCCAAAATTCTAGAGCATCATGTAGACATATTTAACATTGTACTGTGTTACTTAAATAGTCATATATACGAATATAAAATCTTCAGTCTTAAAAGGAAAAGTGAATTGTATTTAAGATCCCCAAATTCATCCCTCAAAAGGGGACCATCGTGAATGCTAAAAATCAAGGTTTACTGTTGTCTGTCCTAATAAAATATGTGACAATGAAAAACATATTACCTTTTGTAATTTGACAGATCCAATAATTTAACTGCCAACATTTCTCTGCTGACCAATATCTAGTATTTCCCCATATTGTTATGCATCCGTCACTTTCACTGTCTGAATACCAAGGAAATATTGGTTCATAGTTTACCTACAGTAAAATTAAAATATATTTACATATTTACTTTCTAAATCCATACATTTTAACATTTGGAAAAAGAAACAAATGTACCAAAACGGTGGAACAGTTTGCCTCCCAGAGTGGTAAGTTAAGAACTACCTGTAAAAACAACTTCTATTTTCCACAGGGAAACTTGATAACATTTCTTATCCTGAGGTATTGATAAAAGTCAAGTTGTAATCACCTTTCTAAAACCAGTCATGTTCAAGCCAACATCAAAGCTGATACCAGCCACAGCATAGAAAAACTCAAAGAAAGAGTGCAAGATCAGAAGATGTGAAGAGACCTTGCCCATAGAATTGCCAAGAGTCAGACAAGACTAAATGAATAATATCATCATCATCACCATCAATGTTCAGGCCATATGGACCTCAGGGAGAAAGCTATTTCAAAGGAGGGGAGAAGGGTCATTTTTAAGGTCACTGAAAGGAGGGACCCAAATCAAGTTTGTTCTACCAAATCCTATGAACAGGCATAAAGAATTGGAAGAAGAGAGTCCCAAAGATACGCAGGTTTCAGCCATGCAGATTTTAAAGAGATTAACCAGCAATTTTGATTGCAGACTGGTAAAATGTAGTTTTCAGATAAGAGATGTTGTATTGATGAATCATGACACATCCATTACTACTCAAGATGCTGCATTCTGGACCATATTTAGCTTCTGTGCAGTTTTTAAAGGCAGCCTCATGTACAGCACATTTCAGCAATCCAAATGAGAAAGCAAGATAGGTGCGACTGTGGATAGCTTCACATTCTAAGAAAGGCTGTAAATGGTACAATAGATGAAGTTGTGCAAAAGTCCCTCCTTCTCATAATTGAAGAAAGTTCCTCAAGCAATAGCCATGAGCCAAGAAGGACAACAGTACAGAACAAGGGAGCATGATTCCATCCATAACTAGAGATGGAATCTCCCTCCCTTCTTAACTCCAAATTGCTCCATCTTGCTGGGATTAAGATCGCTAAGGTCTTATTTAAGTCTTCTCAATTTTAACTTTTTTTATGTTTAACTTTTTATCATTTTGTAAGTCACTCAGAGTAGCTTTATCAATGAGATGAGCAGCATATAAATTAAATAAATTAATAAAGTAGCAACCTCCAGACATCAAGAAAAGGGGCTCAAATGAATCACCTGTTCATTCAATGGCTGAGATATAAAGTTATGTATCCCTCACTGATCATATTGAATGTGTCAATGGATCATATTCCCAACCAGTTTTAGGTAGATGCTAAATAAAAGTGAGAAAGGTATCAGGCTCTGAGACAACCCAAAATCCATGGCTTAGAATTTGATACCCATGCCAGTTGAAATCTCCACCTGAGAAAGAATGACGATAACAATAGAGTCTTCCTCTTTGCCAGTTCGCAGAGTTGATCCAGAAGGATACCATGGTTGATGGTAATTAAAAGCCACTGAGAAGTCAAGTAACATCAACAAGGGTGCAGTTCCCAGTCATTAGCTTGCAAAAAGCCAGCCATAAGTATGACTTGTGTATCTCCACTTTCAACTTAAAGATATGGTTCCATGTAATTAATTTTTTCCAGAGTTCTTTACACTATAGCAAAGAACTAACTAAAGACAGTTGGATATAGATCAATAATTGTCTAATATTTTTGGATCAAACTATTCTTCTGAAAAGGTAGAACACACTTCTTCAAGACATATGGCACTGGTCCATCATCCAAGACTGCATTCATTACACCCCCTACACTGAATCCTTGTCACTTTTCTGTCACTTTTCTTTTATTCCCCCATAGTGATACAGATTTTTCTGCTAGTAAGGAAAGGAACAAGAGGAGTGAAATCCAATACTTATTGCTTGCTCAGTTCACTCCTTCCTCCCCAAACTGAATCCATCTTCCTTGCCTTTCCTTCCTTTCTGGGTCACCACCACAATGATAAGCTTCTATCTATCTCCTTGATCTCTCTAGATCTCTTTTGTTCTTTAATTGCTTTGGAGGTTTTCAGTTTTCCCCAGGAGCTCAGACATCATGATGATACTTGCTCAGCCACCATGCCCTCTGCTTTTGTTAGTTGCAATAGCATCATCAGTATCAAATGGCTCCAATGAGGCCAATAGCAGCAACAGCAATATTCACAAACGTAATACATAAACAGTCATGATGTCCTGTATTCTACCATCATCCCCCAATTGCACCTTTATGACCATTAAGAATATACGCCATATTAAACATCCAGCTCAAAATTGTAGGTACTTGAAACTACTCAACATGATACTTAGGAAAAGGACCACCTGGAGGTCCTCTTACTTCAGCAAAAACGGATAAAGGAAAAATTAGCAGAGTGTGAAATGAAAGATTTCAAGTAATTTGTAAGTTCTATAAGAACAATGCAATCAAACCTTTTTTTCAATAGCAGTCCATAGAAACTGTCAAAATAATCTGAACCAGGTCAAATAGCAACAACATGTTATATTAAGATTTTAATACTTGATTTAACACTTAGAATACTGTTATATGTCTGAGGAAATGTCTAAAAGAAATATTATTAATACCTGTACTCCACTAAATATTAAGAATACTGACAATTTCAGTTAACATTGTGTTATGCATTTAATAATTTACTTACAGGAGATCCATCAATCCAAGTGTATCCTGGGCTGGAACCTACAATTCTTAAACCAAGCCAGCTCCTTTGTGATTGTAATCTAAAATGTAATAATCAGCACATATGTTAAAATATAATTTATGCACATGCCTTTCTTAAATAGAACACTGCAATTTTCTTTCTGTGTTTACTTTTTCACACATAGAACATAAGTATGTCAGCAAATGAATAACCCCAAGAAATATCCAAGCTCTTAAATATGGCATATGTCCTTACAGCTGAAATATGCTATCTATTTGAATGGGGATAGATTCTGATGACTACAATGTAATTTATTTAAGTAATCATGTATACTAGAAGCCTTGTTACTTTATTGAGATGATGATAATTATGATTGAATCTACACTTCTGACCATTCATTATTATTTCTGTTGTAACAACTTAAGAAGTTTTTTTTTTAAATAGTGATGGTGATCTTATCCACTGATTATTGACATAAATTGGATCTCTAATTCTGAGGGCCCTGAGAGAAAACTTAACTACATGCAAAGTACTTCAGAATGAATATACTGTATGCGAGATTATAAAGTTAACACTAATTATATATTTCATGATGATGAATTCAGTGCTCCAATAAACACTTTGCCAGGAGTGTTTCTGTCTTGAGATATAAAAAATAAAGTTTATATACTCACATTTTGTTTAATAAATGAAACTCTTGTTTATTATGAAAAGAAGTCAGGTGTCCTCCAATCAATTTACAATGGTCATATGCGTCATACCAATTTTTCTTTTCAGTTTTCTTTTCTGGATATGCCTAAATGCATATAAATACATCTCATTACAGATCAACATTAATACTGCAATTGTCTACTTCCCTTCTTGGCTGATTTTAATTATCTTTTCAGTTAAGCCCCCAAACTTTCATGTTTGGTACTTCCATTTCTTACATTTTTCTAACCATTACAATATCTATTGATATTAAAGAGAAAATGGGAGAAGTTAAAGGGTGAAGGTTTTTTTGCTGCTACCATAACTAGAGCTATGCAAATTGGATGTAAAAGAATACTTGCTGGATTTTCTGAGAAAAGAAAATCAGTTATTCTCCCCCTTCCACACAGGATGATGATAATGATGATGATTTTACACACACACACACACCACATTTAAAATACAGTTAGGCAGCCAGTTTGGTGTAGTGATTTAAACTGGGAGACAGTGAGTTCTAATCTCACCTTAGACATAAAACCAGCTGGGTGACTTTGCCTGTCACTCCCTCAGTCCTAGGAAGGAGGCAATGGCAAACCTTTAATCAAAAAACTTTGCCCAAGTAACTGAAGGAATTTATCCAGGCAGTCTCAAACAAACACAATTGAATGGAAGAAAAAAAAAAGTATTATGACAAATCTACACAAGTGAAGTTGTGAAGAACTAAAAATATACGAAGCATTGATTGCATCAAAAATGCCAACTTTTAACCTTTCTATTAGAGCCATAACTATCTTAGGCTAATTCAATAATAATAGTCGTCATCTTGATTGTATTGTTTAGACCAGGATTTCTTGGGACACAGTACCCCAGACAATAAATGGGGATCTCAGAGAAAGGGCCAAAGATATGCTGGCTGGAAAGGAACGTGACCAGTTTCCATGTTGCCTTCCTTATTCTTCCAGTCACTGCATTTCCTATTCAGAGGAGGGTTAATCATGGCTGAAGGCACCAAATTCCCTCGGGAAGGGACGGGAGAAGAGGCTGGGATGCCAGCTCCTGCTGCAGTGTCTGTCTCTTGACCTGGCCTGTCTCAAAGGGCTGAATCTGGTTGCCCAAACAAACTGGATGACTCCGACACTGACCCACCTTGAAGCAGACATTCCTTGTTGGACTTGCAGTCCATCCTTCAGGACATGGGGGAGGGGAGGTCGCTCTCGGGATTGGAGGAAGTGTCACCCCTTCAGCCAATTGCTTGCAAAGGAAAGGGGCCCTTTCCTCACAGTTCACAACATCCCACAGTCCAGCAGCATCTCCTGTTCTCATGGCAACGCAGCCGGGATTTGGGCCTAGCCGAATGGATGACAAAAGCCAGTTAAATTTAATGCATCTTCATATATAAGCTAAATAGGATAAATGCTTTCCTGCCAGAATTTATTTGCTCTGACAGACTCCATACCAGGCATTTTTGCATTCCAGTGACTGAACTGAATGGGGTCTCCATTGGTCCAGTTGAAAGTCCCTGGATTCCCTACATCCGAAAGGCCGATCCAGAAATATTTTTCAGGACGGTATCCAATTTGGCTAGTCAGGAAGGCCTGCTCAAATCTGTGGTAAAAATAATTCAAATCAGAATGGTCTCTTATTTTGCCTGTTTTCAAATTCTATAGATGGTTAATCTTAGGTATAGTTTACACTTTTACTAGTCAAACCACCTAAAAGGATTGTTGTGGAGAAAATAAGAGTCAGGAGTATTCGGTACATATTTCTACATTTAAAAGATGGGATAAAATTATGACTATCATCATCCTCTTAGATATGAAAGTACAACACTAGATTTAGAGATTCCTGATCAGAGCTAAGAAGCCCCCATAACATATATTAAGGTTAGGAGGACAGAGGTGAATCTTTCTTACAGCAAAGACTATAGGGCAGTATTCTCCTGAAGATTTAGGATAAGGGCAGGCCTCCATCTTACTGAGGTCTCTTCATAAATGCTGTCTGAGGCAACCATCCAGAATGGCCAATGGTAGGGTCTGCCCAATCCCTGCTACAAATAAAAAAGTCACCTGTGGTAGTTCTCTTGACCTAGATGTCTGACCTAGACTGCAGTTGCATCATAACATTCTCTACAGCATTATTTCCCAATTTTGGCAGTTTTAAGATTGTAGACTTCAACTCCCAGAATTCCGTAGCTGTCTGGTGAATTCTGGGAGCTGAAGTACAAATATTTTAAGGTTGCTGAATTTGGGAAAAACTACTCTACAGCAGTGGTCTCTATATTTTTTTGATCACACATCCTTATCAGTAAAAAAATTAAGTGTATATCTCAATATAACTATGTTTGTTTGTAAATTATATCTGTATTATTTTACTGGTGTATTATGCATATTATAAAACATAATTCCAAATGTATATTATACTTTTTATATTCTTTATATTAAGTATTAGTTGCTAATTTTTTTTGGAGAAACAATAAAATCCTAATATTTTCTTCCTGTACAGAAATGGATCAAGTATATGCATCCCAAGTTGGAGAGCATTGCTCCAAAAAATTCTTCATAGTATATTAATATAGCATTCCTATCTGGAACACCATAAAAGAAGCTGGTTTAGAATAAGTGTTGCAGCAAGATGTTACATCCTCATTCCTACATACTCTGAAACCCCTTTTGGAAATTGGAAAAACTAAAGAGCTGAATTAACATTAAAATATATCCTGGAAAACATTTATTTTGAAATATTCATTAATCACAACAATAATCAGTAATCCATATAATACTCAAGGAAGTAAACCAAGCTTTAGATGATATGTCAAATGAACTCATGTAAAATTAGAATGAAAAATTAGGCATAATTCAGAAAAATGAACAATCCATAAACATCAGAATAAAATAATAAACAGTTTAGAATCAAGGAATGAAATATGTGGAAATGTCTTCCATGTTTAGATTTTTTTTGTATGTGTCACTAGGTATCATAGTACAATTTACTTTAAAGTAAATTAATTTAAAAATATATTTACTGTTTTCTTTGTTAAGTAAAATGAGAAAAAAGTGATGAATCCTCTGCAAATAGTTGATCCACTTATCTTGAGCTCATTCGTAAGGATGATAGATAGATAGATGATAGATAGATAGATAGATAGATAGATAGATAGATAGATAGATAGATAGATAGATAGATAGATAGATAGATAGATAGAATATTTTTGCTTTGTTCCTTTCACCATATTTTACCTATTCTCCACAGAGCTCAGAAATCCTTGGTTTGTTTCACAAGATGTCTTTGCTTCAGAAAATGTTCCAGGTGTCTTTCCAATTAAGTAACAATAGAAATCATACCGTTTCCAATCCTGTTGACATAGCATACATACACATATAGAACATTAGCCTGTGGTGTTTTTTTTTATTTCTCACATTTTTATCCTGCCCCAATCCAAAGATTCTCAGATTCACCAAATTATCTTCATCAAAGGGTGGCTTTTAATTATTTTAACTTCATATTTTATCTGATACATAGTGATAGTCTTAGAATCTAAAAGGCTGTTAAATCAATAAATGTTGATAGACATATATTCACAGCATTCAATTTCTTTGTCAATAGCTTTAGATTTATTTAATTTTGTAAGAACATTGTTGCAATTTGGATGTCCAATTACTATGGCCAATACAAATCAGCATTTTTCAGTTTCAGATTCAGTCCAATCCAAATATATTTCTATTCAGAAAAAATATATCAAAACATGTTACTTCTGTTTAGTCATTATCTCAGATAGTTTTTCTTTTTTTGTCATATAACTGCAGGGAAAATCTTTCTATCTATATGGTTGCTAAGAGTCGACATCAATGTTAGGAGTGGAGGGGAATGTTCATCTGAAGGCAAAACTAGCTTCCTGGTTGATATCTCCAAAACTTCATAAGAAGATAAATAACTATTATAAAAGATCAATAGCTATATAGTTCTTTAGACTTACTTTTTGGCATTTTGTATCAGGAGTTTCATCTGTTCCAGGAAGAAACTCTGAAGCTTCTTTTTTACAGATGTACCCTAATTCCTCTTCACAGAAATAATCTGCCCAGTATCCATTCTGAGGATGGAAAGGTGAACAAATCTCACTGAAAAGGAATCCATTATTTTTACCCTTTCCTATTTTTTAATGATTTATACAATTTTTGCTTTTTTTTCATGAGCTGGACTATTAGACAATACTTGTTATTGCTGCATTTGTCTAAAATGTGCAGCCACACTAACATCTTGCAAAAAGATGTACCGGTAAGTGTTTAAATTAAGTTGGGAATGATAAACTGAGACCTGGCTGGGCGTGGAAGGAGGAGTGCTTCTGGTGGACATCTGCCCGCCGGGTTTTCAGGCATTTCATCGGCCGAGGACCCGGGGTAGGGGCGGGGGGGTAGCGGTCATTATAAGGGAGAGCCTTTGTCCTAGGGAGACCACTGTGCCTCAGATAGATGGCGTGGAGTCCCTCCTGGTGAAATGGGGGCAAGGGGTGCAAGTGGGCTTGTTGATTATATACCTGGCTCCCTGCTATGTATCAACAGCCCTGCCTGAGCTGGCTGACGTGATAGCCGGGGTGGCAGTTGAGACCCCC